TTATTATTATTATTATTATTATTATTATTATTATTATAAATCTTAATTTATTATTCTGTAAAAAGTATGCGATTCCTAATTAGGCACTTATAATATAAAAACCAAACGTACTTTATGCATAGCACTTAGCAGATAAATAATTAAGTAATTTCCGCGATGATATGAAGAATCAATTATAAAATTATCGTAACTATTTGACGTTTCACTATTGAAAGATCAGAATGTTTTATTACTATCATATACATTTTTTTTATAATGTAAAATTCTATTATCAATTATTAAACGGTTCGATTTTGTTGATATTTTTACAACGTTACAAGACACATTTCTGCTATAAACGAAACTTATTAGTATTTATCTGAACAGTTGAATGCTAATATTAGCTAATCATACCAATACTAACGAATAGAAAGATGAAATATAAGGGAGAAGTAGCTGAATAGTCAATTGAATGTTCAATAAATAAAGAAATAAAAAAAAGTCATATTCACTGATTATTATGAAAGTGAAGATTTGCCAAGATGTAGCTTAATTATACACTGAATTCGAACTTATCAATTGTTAATTGTAAATAATTTATTTTACATTAATAAATTAATATTTTAACAATACCTACGTTCCTTTTTCAAAATTGATTTCGAGCAGAGAGTAGCGCACCTTCGAGCGCAAAATTTCAAATTACAACTTCTGGCCGGCTCTTTCCTTAATAGTCGCGTAACAAATTTTCCACAACGCGCCATTGTTCCAATTACCGTTCACAGGCTAAATACTATTCGATCTCATACTCACGGTTTAGCTATCGAGCCGTAACAATGTCATTACCGTTTTGTTGCCAATACTTTAAGACGAATAAGAGAGCCCAATTGCGAATTGCGAATTCGAGCCGATTTGATGTGAGGTGATTCGAGCGAGCCTCGACACTACTTTTCACTACTTTTCCTTGACTTCTTTCAGTAATGCCAGGACGTAAGTGCTCGTCAAATCTGTTCTCTGCACCACCCGCCGATGATAACGAGAGTGTGCCGCGCGCCTATTAAGATGCGCGGCTTTTGCGCGGTTGATAATTGCGAAGCAATTATAAATCGACGAGAGACTATCGCTCTTCCTCTGGACTTTGATGGAGGCTCGGCTCCAGCAGCTTTCGTGACGTTTACACGAGAGAGGTCGCATGCACGACTGCATTCCACTTCGAAACGAACCAGCGGTTTTTTTTTTCTTTTCTTTTTTTTTTTTTTGTTGCTCATTACTCATTATTATCGGCAATGCGCTGATATCCCATAGAGTTAGAACTGTGGGATACGTTTCTTGATACATGCGCGCTGGTACTGCACAAGTGTTGGGGTTGTTGTGGATGACTTGGTAAATAGATAGTAAATAGCGCTAAATAATTAATGGCTTAGTGTATTTAAGCGAACGATGAACGATGAAATGGATCGTCGTGAGGATACATAACGTGGAATTGGTAATGATTTGAGATGACATTGTTTACTTTTACAAAAATTGACAATTCAAACTTCGTGGACACTATTAATTTATTCGTATTATTTTCTCGTTTCGTTATCATTAAATTTTCTTGAAATTTCATTTGTTAAATAGTTAGGATAACGAAAATAAATTAATATTGCAATTAATATTTTCAATTCGTGTGTAAAATTGTCGACAATTAAGTCTGGCTAAACAAATAATATATGAGACACGCACGCGCTGTATGCGTTAAAGTTTATATTCGTTAAAAGCGATTAGAATAGAATAGAATTCATTAAAAGAAAATTTCAGCTCCGTAAATTGAATTTTCAAATATTAGATCTGTTTAAATGTAATTTATCGGATGTAAAAACAAAATCGTCAATAATAGTTTGTTCTACAAAAGTTTGAATTTTTTGTAATAATCCCTTTTGGCTATAAAGTAAGGCTCCATATGATTTTTTATTAGTTAAAAAATTATCCAATAGTATTAAATGAACTGAAAATTGTAATTACTTAATTGCATATAATAATGTTGATAAAATGAGAATAAATATTTGCACTCTCAATAATACATGTAATCTTGCAAAAATAATATTTACGATCGCTTAACTATATTCGCCATTAAATATTTATCATTTTAATCTAATGCAAACGTAATTAATTATAATACGTTATTTTACAAAAAAAAAAAAAAATTTGAAATATTTCTTTATGCTCATTTTATTTTCTCGAAAGTTTATCTATGAATTTAAATGTTAAATACAATTGCAATTGTAATGAAATTTCTTTATTATCTTGAATTATATCTTGGAACATTTTATCAATGAATGAAATATGTTTAATGGCCAGTAATCGAATTATTTAGTAGAGAGAACTTATAAGAAAATTAATTCAACTTAAAAATAAGGAAAAATATAATTTGAATTATTTAAAACATTATACAACTATATGACAGAATTCGAAATAAAATATTAACGTGTACATTAAAATTCTCACAATTAAATTTAATTATCCTTCCGTTACTACTATTGAAATTCCAATAAAAATGTGCTAAAAATACTCGCGATAATACAAATTCATATGCGTACAATAATTCAAGTTATACTTGGGTAAATTTAATTTATATACTTGAAAATACTGCTATTTTATGACATTTGTATGAGCATTGATTTAAGCATAATCACTGTATTAAAGAGTTTAAATTAATTAAAATTAACATTTTATAAAATTGTCTTTGTTTAAATGTAAATTTATTAAGGAAATTTGCGATGCCAAAGCTAAAGAAAAATAAGTAACATCGTTATTGAAATTCTGTTGAAATACGCCCGATAAAGAATAGAAAACCATAGTATCAGTAAATTTACATGAAATCATATATTATTGATTAACTTGATATGAGAAAGAGTCTACTTCAATTCCTCTTTTTCTTTAATTCTAATTGTACGAGTGTCGAAATAATGAAAATTCATATTAATTAAATACGATATAATTTTTACGAAAGTTGATTATGCAATTAACATAAAAAATAAAGTAACATGAAGCATTAATTGAGATTGGGTAGAAAAAAAAAATGAGTACAACAAATTAAGAATGTTGATTTTCATTTATTACAATATTTTGTAACGATATATGATATATAATATAATGATCTATAAAGTCTATGTCCACAACCGAATGACAAATGTATAAATTTCTTTATCTATAGTCTTTCGCGACACTCGATCGGCGTTATTTTTATTTTTACAATGTACAATTTGTCGCAAGCTGTCAGTTACATTTCGTTAACAATAGAAAGGCGACTGTTATAAATCTATGTGAGAAAGAATAAGAATTTAATAGACCGCAGACGAAATATGCACCTTACAATAATTGTAACATTATTCAATGCCGGTTTTTCTTGTTTTTTTGTTTTGTTTTTTCTTTGCAAGGAGTGTAAGGGTATACATATGTTAATTTATATATTTATTCTCGTATTTTACAATTTTAAAGTTTCATAAAAATAATAGTTATGCAATAATAGTAAATATAATAATAGTAATTATAATAAAATAATAATAATTAATAATTAATAATAATTAATAATAATAGTAATTAGTAACACTTAACGTAATGTACACAATACATATTGACTTATGTAAGATATTTCGTGTACGTGACTTCCAGAAGAATATGTATTTGTTCGATGTCATGTTCATTTTTCTAATAAATATAATTTCAATTAACAAACCACTTAAGTGACACATAACAATTATAAAAATAGAATTAGAAAATTCGATTAATTTGGTTCATTTTTCATTATTTTGAAAGTCCAGATCACGAAAATTCTCATCTACGGTGAATATTTATTGTCAAATTCTTTAAACATGCCTCCTTTTAAATTTTATTGAGTTACGATAATTTAGTTCTTAACATATTTCTCGTATCCTCAATATTCTGTACAAAATGGCACATCCTACCCTATAACCACTCAGACGAGATACATTACGCGTGGTATCGTAATATATTTTTGTGCCCATAATTAACTAGTCGATTCAAGTACTTTCATTCTACCACAAGGTAGAACTTTTTACAAACTGAATTATCTATGTACATTCCAAGTTTTGCTTTAATCATATGAGAAACACTTTTATTTGTTTGAAGAACAAAAAAAAAAAAAAAAAAACTCGCATCAGTCCAATTTTATTGGTCCCCTAAGAAAATGCCGATGATGGCTTACAATGTAGCCATACATCATTCGTATTAGTTCTCTTGTCTCCTTTGTTTTCTAGAATAAGTAGAAATTTTTCACAATCGTAGTTTAAAATTACACAGAGAGCCGGTAACGTAATTAGGTTTTTTTTTTTTTATTTTTTTTTTATTTTTTTTTTTTGTGTTTTTGTTTGTTTTTTTTCCTTTTAGTTTTTAGAGTAGAGCATGTTTGTCTCCGAAACATTTAAAATTCAATCTTGAAGTTTAAGTGACAAACGCGAATATTTTAAAAATTTGTTCATGTTTTTCGCAATTCACCGAGGCAATAAACATAAGCACCCTTTATTGCTTTAGAATAGGTACACGATAAGAATCTTCCATTTCCATTTCCCATCTTCAAGAAGATTCTAGCTAAATAATTAATTGTTTAAAAGTAATAAAAGGTGCGAGTGCTTGTTTAATTAATAGGCCTAGGTAAACGCGTTCGTCGTTTAATGCGTTGCCGTTGCGAGCACATTGCAAGTAATGAAAAATATCAAGAAAAATTACGATCGAACAGTTTTAAGTGTTCTCGAAGTATAGAATCTTTTTTATCACAGTCATCGGCGATAACGAAACTTTCATTTAAATTCGTTCAACCGAATATAAAAATTCACTTCTTTTAAAAAAAGATCGAGATTACATGGTCGATCAATGTATAAAAAAAAAAAAAAAAAAAAAAAAAAAAAAAAAAAAAGAATCGCAAGAAACATTTGTCATTCAATTTGCAGAGATAAATTTTTCATTCTTCAGCTTTATTAACGCGTAAATCCTAATAAAACAACAATTTACGTTTTTCTTACTTACTTTTTTCCTCTTCTGTAAACTACATTTACGTACAATATAATGTGTATACACGCTATTTGTAAATTACAAGTATGAGTTACAATTATTTACAAGCCACGTTGAAAATGGCACATTATGAATATATTTGCACTACAGTTCATTGTGTATCGCTGACATGGCCGACACGTCGACATATATTTTATTCTCATTAGTATAATCGATTATATCAGCCAGTGACAGCCTTTCAATTATATGTTATTCTTATCTTTCTCTATCTTGTTATACTTCTTCCTTATTTCATTCGCTCTCACACTATTATTCTCTCATTCGCGCTACATTCGTGACATTGAGTTATGATCACAATTGAACACGGCACGCTTTTATATCCATTCGGGAAATCTCTAAGTACTTGGAAGTGTCGTCCTTCAAAACAATGCTACGATGTCACTTATTTAAAAATTATTAGTACAGAGACAATTCAAGCAGACGTTACGAAATCCCGATTTTATTTTTTTTTTCTTCATTTTTCTCTTCCTTTCTTTCCTTTATTTTTTTTTTTTTTATTTTCTTTTCTTCTTTCTAACGATTCTCGTACGTTTGTCCAGCCACTCCATAGTGCATTAGTGCGTTACACATCGGTAAACGAGAAATGCATAATTGAATCGTGAGTAGTGCTCTTACAATACTTTTCAGCGATTCGACGAAATATTACGGCATGGATTTTTCCCGCGCGTTACCTACGTTCCTTTGCAATCGTCTCTGTTTAATGTCACATACGGGGCGCTGATTCGATTATTTTCTGAAACTGGCTCTAGAGGGACATCCGGCTTTATCGGCGTTGCCATTAATAAGATGTAAACACGCTTGAAGAACGTCCGTACTACCATCGACTCACAATTAACTCAATCGAGACGTTTTTACGCTCATACTCAATTTCTACTGTTCAACTGTACTAATATCCCTTACTTTATTTATAAACCGCATACATATATATATATATATATAAAGGGGGTGGGGAAGGGGAATTGCGTGGGGGAAGGGGGATTGTGGTATATGCGCGCGCGTGTATATACATAGATCATTTAGTCACCGGTCATACGGACCAAACGCTGTCGATGTACTTTAATTTTTCTCGAGATCTAAGGAGGTGTCGATATTAAACTTGAAGTCGTTGAGCTTGAGAACCAGTTTCACAAGCCGGATAAACCTTTAAAGAACTAGCTTGCTCGACCAATGAAGAAAATAGTTGCTTAATTGGTACTTAAAGTTATGCCTCGAACATTCACGGCTCCTCCCATCACCGTTACCGAATCTCATCAGCCTCCTGGTGAACGCTACGTCAGACCGTCGTCTCGTTCTTCCTGAGAGGCTTGAGCGGCTGGAGCTCGCGCTCGAGCCGATCGAAGTCGTTGTAATATTCGTGATCGGACTCTTCCTCGGAGCTTCGCTGCCGGAGTTGAGAGATGCCCCCAAAGGCCCCATTTGCCAGGACTTTGTCCAGCGGGTTGGGCGATGTCGGGATGCCGAGGGTCTGCGGCGTCAGCGGCCCATCGTCCTGCGACATTATGTACTCGGGATTGTCGAGAGAAGTCTTGCCGGGAATCGTCAGGAACTCGGGGTACTGCCTGTAGCCGTTGTTTAGGCGCTTCGGCATGGATTCTGCAAGGAGGAGCAGTGATTTATTTTAGAAACGTACGCTCCTTACAGTACAAACATAATAATATATATTTATTACGAACTTGGCAAAGCAGTTGGCAAATATCTTCTTGCCTGCTTTACTTTTGCACGCGTAAGTAGCCATAAGAAATTAATTTCAGAGTAGAAATATCATCGTTTGCTGTAACTTACCGATTGGATTCGCCTCTCCTATTAGGTCCATATACTGAGTTTTTGTGGCGGGAAGCTGAGGTGACGGCATTAAATAATCATCTTCGTCGATCGGAAGTTCTAATTTCACCCCACCCCTCCGACATGTGCTTGCTGATGCATCGATGTTTCCGAGATAAATCCGTCATCTGTCACGTCACAATCTGGTAAATTAATTTATCAATCGTTACGAGATGCAGTAAGTTAGTACGATTAAATGCATTACACGTGCGTTAACGCGGTGATATTAATTTGCCCGACAAAAGAAAATAAATTTTCACGACAAGCAATTTTATCCTTTACGATATTGCAAATAGAGCTGAAAAATCGATGAAGGATCGATATATGTGAAGCAAGCGTCGCACTCGATTAAAGTAGTTGGATGGGCGAAAACGTCGAAGGGAAAAGGGCTGACGACGAAAAACAAACATCACGATGAAAACAGAAACAAAAACAAAACAAAACAAAAAAGAAATATCAAAGCGACAGAACTTACCTCTGACTCCGACCATCTTGAGCGGGTCCGAGCAGTATCTCGAACTGCTCGTGTCGGAACCGGGTAGGACCGTCAGCTGGCCGCAATGACCGTTCGGATGGGCGTAGTGCATGGACCTCTGTATGGAGTTGGTGCCCTCGTGGCTGCTACCGCCGCCGTTGCCGCCGCCGCCGCTGCCACCGCCGCCACCGCCGCCACCGCCGCCGCCACTGCCGAGGCCGCCGACGCCGCCGAGGCCGCCGACGCCGCCGAGGCCGCCAACACCGGCGCTAACGCCACCGACACCAACGCCGCCAATGACACTGCCACCAACGCCTCCGCCACCACCGATGCTCATGCTACCGATGCCGACTCCACCGCCGATTCCGGAATTGGAATTGCCGAGAGTGAGGCCGCCGCCGTGCATCAGAGCCGCGCCGTACCTCAGCAACTCGCGGTCCCAATTTTGCTGGTTCTGGGGAGTCGGCGAGTCCGTGCTAAGCGAGCCGCCGTTTGGCCAGCAGACCTTGATGGGCGTACCCGGTGGCGAGGAGCCCGAGGTGCTGTTCGACAGGAGATTCGGTGGCAGGGGCGCGCGGCACTTGGGCTGCAGGTACTCGTCCGCCTCGACTAGAGCCTCGGGCCCATCCATGGCCGAGGCTAAGTTGCGAATCATTTCCTTCTCGTCCTGCGAGAAAGAAGCCGACTTTTTTTTTCCTTTACCTCAAGGCTAATTACGAGTTGAGAGGTTATGTAAGGAAGAGGGCTTCGCCGGAGCGACGATGGTAGTGACGAGCACTGGAGACCCGCATCGGGATAACGTTGGACTCCGGGTGGGACAGGCACGTGCCGTGGTTGACGGAGTGGAGTGGAGTAGGGGAGTGGAGTGAAGGCTTTTGACCGTATCGATGTTCAGGATATGGAGTTGCTTACCTGCAGAGAATAGGAGGGCAGTCTCATGTACTTGTCGCCCTTGATGGCGAGATACCTGCCCGGATCTCGCGACATCTTGGCAAAGTCCTCGGCAAGTTCCTTAAAGCTAGGTCTCGACTCCGCGTCCAGCATCCAGCACTTGATCATGATCATGTACACGTCGATCGTACAGATCTGCGGCTGTGGTAGCCTCTCGCCTTTCTCGAGAAGCTCGGGCACGTTCCTCGCGGGCACGTTCTCGTAGGGTCTGCCACCGTAGGTCAGCACCTCCCAGATCGTCACCCCGAATGCCCAGACGTCCGATTTGTGCGTGAATATTCTGTGCTGAATGCACTCTAGGGCGAGCCACTTTATGGGCATCTTGCCACCAGCCGCCTTGTACTGCTCTTCGTTAATGTCCAGGAGCTTGGCCAAGCCAAAGTCCGTGATTTTCACGCAGTTGCCCGTTTGCACGAGGACGTTTCTCGCGGCCAAATCGCGATGGACGAGCCTGCGCTCCTCGAGATAAGCCATGCCGCGAGCAATTTGGGTGCACCAGTTGAGCAACGGCTTAGAGCCGATCTTGTCCTTGTTGTTCCTGACGAAGTCGAGCAAGCAGCCGAGGGGCATCAGCTGCGTCACCAGCATCATCTGCGACGTCATGCAGACGGCCAGTAACTGCAGGAGATTCGGATGCTCCACCGAAGCCATGATGTAGGCTTCGTCTAAGAATTCCTTCGACGTATTGGCTCCAGTGCCTTCGTGCAGTACTTTGATCGCTACGGGGATCTTGACGTTTTCGCCCTCGGGTACCCACACACCCTTGTACACGTTCCCGAATGCGCCGTAACCTATAGTCAATGGAACACAAAGATTAAAGTCCGTTCGGCATTAAATCCTCTCGCGGTTCCTATGATAATCACAATGGACAGATGGACGGGAGCCGATGTCCTACGGCGCGTGCGTGACAGTTGTAAAAAACAAAATACATGCGATAATTACGAGTTACAAACCTAAAATGCCGCCCTTCCTCATCTCCTCCTCCTTGATTATACGCAATTTCGCGAGATTGGGCTTGACTCCGGTCGGCCTCAGAGGCTCGTTGTCGTCGAGGCCAGTCAGGGCCATCGTCATTTTAACGGTGTTCTCTTTGGCCTTGACCCGCAGGCGCCACTGATACATGAGCAGTCCGGCGAACGAGAGGAATATAATGACGAGTATGCCAACGCCCCCGAGGATGGCTGGTTGCAGTTCCGTGTCGTATTGGAGGCCGAAGCCGACTAGTTCTTGGGAGCAGTAGAGTTCGCTGTCGCCGCCCGAAAAAATTTTGTGCGGGTACTCGGGCGGACAGGCTTCCGTGCAATTGAAAGCTGTCGTGTTGTCGTTCGGATCTCCGCCCTCCTATTAATGTCATATTACATTATTACATTTTTAAATTGGTTAATAAGCCATGGGTTATTGTATTAGTGCCGTTTAATTTGCAATTATATCAATGCAGTTGACGAGACAGCGAACGGCGCATTAAACTTTAAGCGCGACAATCTACGTCTGTCTCAACGTTTATAAGAAACGCTAGAGCACTGTATATACCCCTAGCGATTGAACAAACGATGATCGTGAGAGAGAGAGAGAGAGAGAGAGAGAGAGAGAGAGAGAGAGAGGGAGCAAGACTCACCACGTAGATCTTGAGATTCCTGCATTTGTAGCATTGGTTGGGTCCGGCGCCGTAGCACCCGCGACACTCCGGATAGCAGGGTATACAGACTTGAGTATCGGGCTCGACAAAGTGATCGGCAGGGCACTCCTCCTCGCAGTGCTCGCCGCGTTTAAATTTCACGCACTGCTGGCAGACCTGCTCGTGGGTGCCGAAGCCCGTGCACTTTTTGCAGTGCGTATGACACTTGCGACAAATGGCTTTGCCGGCCAGAGGTTTCAAGGCTCCTTGCTCCTGAGGACTTACCCACTCGTAATAATGACCTGCGAACGAAGAGATTATTTATATTACAGCGATTGTCGCCTGTCTCGCCTCGATTACCACTAAGATACCACTGCTCTTAAGCTACACTGACGCTTTATTCGTAAGAAACGAGTGAGCAATACGTATGGTTTGAATTACGATGACCATGAGAATGGACAAAAACAACTTACCATCTGGGCAAGGTTCCTTCTTCTGCAAGCAGCCTTCGGGCACGTGCCTGCCGTTCATGATCGCCTTCTCGCAGCTGTGACAACCGTTTGGCCCGATGTTATTCTCCGGCCCTTCGCAACCACCCACGCAATTTTCATGGCAATGCCGGCATTGGCCATTGTCATTGTACTTGGACGAGGGGCATTCCGGGACACAGTAAGGACCGTCTCGGACGTTTTTACAGGCGGTGCAGTGCTCGGGATTAGGTCCGGTACAGGTGCCGTTGCACTCCTCGTGACATGGTTTGCAGTTCTGATCGTCCGCTTGGTATATACTGAGATAAAGAGATAAATTACTTTCCTCCTCTCTCTATTTGACGCTTATTTAGGCTAATTAAATAAATGGCATCTGCCATTTATTCATTATAGAGTATTATTATTATTGTTGTTGTTGTTGTTGTTGTTGTTGTTGCTATTATTATTATCATTATTATTATTATTATTATTATTATTATTATTATTATTATTATTATTATTATTATTATTATTATTATTATTATTACTGTTTTTGTTGTTGTTAATGTGGTTGTTATTGTTGGTATTATGATTATTATTGTTATTATTAAACAAGAATAATGATTTTATATTCTTACCCAGGTGAATTGCAATCCTTTATGCACACGTTTTCGAGAATGAAGTTTTTGCAAGAGAGACACTGATCCGGGCCCGGACCCCAACAGCCTTCCTTCGAACACTGCTCGTCGCACACTAAATCCTCTTTAACTACAAAACAAACAAAATAAATAAGCCGTCTATAAGCTGCACGACTATGTAAATAAAGTATTAAAATGTTTGTCGATTTTGTCAAAATGTTACGTAGCACTTGAGTCGGGTTAATTTAAGACGAAAAAAAGAAAAGGATTTATAAATCGCCAAGAATTTAAGCGTATTGGAACGATTACTTCTTGAAATTACTCGTTAAGTAAGACGTAGGTGAATTAAAAAAGAATTTAATATTGAAATACTCACTGCAATCGGTTTCATTCTTATTGTTCGAAAGTAAGCTCTCGTGCTCTGGTGATTTTCTTATTTTGTCCCAATTAATCGTACCCGCATAGCAAAGATTCTTATTCTCCAAAATAGCCACTGAGCCAGAATTAATTTTCCTCAAGGAGTTTAATCCGAGAGAGACCAGCGACGTCTTTACAATGTACAAGCTGGCGAAATATTCCGTAAGCGTTCTGCCACCTATGACCTCCAGATTCCTGAAGTACGACAGATTCTTAAAGTCATGGTGGTCACCCTGTATGTTGAGAAAGCCCGTGATCTCCTTGAGAGTACTGAAAACTTCGAGCTTGTCGGGGTGCATGGCGTCGTAGCGCGAGCCGAAGGAGAAGTTCGAGTAAATATGCTGATATCCTTTGAAGCTCTGATCGAGGATACTTATCGAGCCTTCGATAATCGTGCAGTCTTTGAAACTATCGATATTACCCGAGTGAACCTCGGTTACGCCCTGGCAAGTCTTTGGGCAGGGTCCTTCGCAGGGCACGCATTCGCCATTTTGGGCCTTCTTTTTCGGCGGACAAGAGCGTACGCACGCCCCGCTGTCCTTTAAAAGATGCTCGGGACACTTTCTTACGCACGTTGCTCCGTACGCGTACTTTCCATCCGGATTCGCCTCCCAAGAGTACGTCGTTGGATTGTACCTGAGCATAATAATATCGAGTGATTACAAAATATATTCGACTGATTGGCTAAAAGTTTACAAACAAAACAAACAAACAAAAAAAAAAAAAAAAACGAATAAATATTGTGTCGTGTCGAGGAAGAGAAAAGCCAGACCTCCTAGGAGCTAACGAAGTTGAAGAATAATAATCGAGCGAAGCACACTCGAAGCAGACTCACTTTTGCATAGGTGGGCACTCCTGAGTGCAGACTCCATCGTCGTAGAAATTCTTGCAAGCGAGGCAGTCGCTTTGCTTGGGTCCGGTGCAGCCACCGGCGCAAAACAGGTGACAGCACTCGCGTGGATTGGGCCCGAAGCACCTGCCCTGCCAGCACTGGGGCGAGCAGTTGGTCTTGGAGAAACGCTGGCAGTTCTCGGGCCCGTCGCCCCAGCATCCCTGCTCACAGCTTTTGTCACACTCGGGGCAGATGCGCTCTGGCGACGTGAAATTATAAACGTAGCTGTAGCGGCGATTCGGTCCCGTTATTATTTCCTCCCAATTTATCGTCTTAATGTGGCACAGGTTGTAATTGTTGTACATGCCGACGCTGCCGTTGAGGATATCTGTTACAATGAGAAATGGTTGTTTAAAAACGTCTTTACGTGATATTATCATACATGGCGTTGCAAAAAAAAAAAAAAGGTGGAAACTAGCGCGGGCAAAAGAGCGCCACGCGTTATTGTCAAATGGCTAATTGAAATATTTCATTATCGATAGGTCGCGCTGCTTTTACAGTTCCGCGGTTCGGCAAGAATCATTAATACGGCAACGCGCAAATAACGAGGTTCGTGTCAATAATAATAAATCATGTTAATGACATATCGAAGTTCGATGTATAATAATAATAATTTTTATCATTTTAATTGAAAATTGCATACGAGCCCGACGCGAAAAATCCACGATTTCCAATGTGAAAATCGTTATTTTCATAAAGTGCCTATGAAATAATACGAGAACTGTAAGAACGATAATATAAGAAATTTCACTTTCGACTTTACAATGTTTATGCACACATATAATATATACTTCCTTGCGACGCGATACGTAATCCTAGTATAAATTTTCAATTATAAAGTATGAATTAACTATTTATTGAGATTGGCAATGAAGAGGATGAGGAGAATAGGAGGTTGTTGGTAAAGGAGCAACGATGGGCCCATAATCTACCGGTTAAACATTAGGATAAGGAAAAATAGGAAGAAGATAGAATTGAATATATATATATGTATATATATATATATATATATATATATATATATGCGAGAATTGTCAATTACCTCTAAGTGCCGGCATCTCCAGATTGTACATCTGGCACATTGTGGCGAAGAGTGCAAACTCGTCGTCGTGTATGTTGAGCTTAAACAAGGTTCGACCACGTATGATCTGCAGCCTCGGTAAAACGATCTTCGGCACGTCGACATGGCTGATGAGGACGTAGCCGGTAACCTCACGTATGTACTGCAGGAAGCTGAGATCGAATTTGTCGTTCTGCAGCCATGTAATCTCGAGGTTGCCGTCGACATACGTACAGTTGGTGTACCGGTCTCGAAGGTTCCGGTAATGATGCTGCTTGTTCGACGGCACGGATAGCCGACCATTTGTTCCGATGCAGACTGTAAGGCAGAAAAACGAAGGGGGGAGGCGATTATGCACCATACTATCATAACATACAACATATTATCATAATGTCGAATTTTTCTAATTTATCGAGCAACGTCGCATAATGATAGGGTTTTTACAGGCGCTGCTCGGAGGGAACTCGTAGGGAGATGAAGAAATGTGAAAAGCCTTTGGCCCTGAAGTCTAAGACCCGGTTGTTTGTCTTTATGAGCTCGACTTAAAATTCTATTCGGTTATAAATGTCATTGTACGTTTACGTGAAAAGGCTAAATTAAATGTTTGTGTCGCCGAGTTGAAACGGAAATTCAAGACAGTGCTGGCATCACTCGACAATTAAGTGGCAATTAATGTCCATCCCAATAATTATCCTCACCGAAACGCGCATTATTAAAACAACTTTTATAGTCAACTTTCATAGTATATGTGTTAGAGCTGTTAGGAATAAAGTATTTCTCGTCGATCGACATTTTCCGCATTAACGAATACAGTGCCGAGAGCCTAATCGATGCCATCGCCCATAATATAAAATACCAAATCTCGGCGCGGTAGCGAAGCCTCTCGTTTAACCTCTCGTTCATTTCCCTATTCTCGTTGGCGATCCTAATTAGGAAAGACTTGGAACTGGTCGCAGCGCTTGCTCAACCAAAGTCTCGTAAGGACGCAATGACGGACTTCCAAACTCCATCGGTGTCACGCGAAAGCGCCTAAAAATTGTCGAGGGAGAAGCGCTGATAAAGCGACACGAATGATCGATATTATTATTTACGTTTTGCAATGCTTTCTCGAAGAACATTGTACGTCTAAAGTGCAATAAATTTTTATATTTACAGAACTTTCTTTGCGTTAATAAATATTCTTCAACAACAGGTATGCGTTATACGGCAGCTGCATATAATTTAAGATACCGGTGTTTATGAGCAATAAAACCTTTTTTTTTCTTCGGCAGCGAGAAAGTGGGAATGACGGAAGAAATATCACCACGATGATTACGCGCAGATTTACGACGAACGTGCTCGGAAAAGCATACGCATCGTAACCTATGATAAATAATAAGTTTTAAAAAATAATTCAGCATGTAAATATTTTACTTCGTTGTTTGTCGGCAGTTGCCTGCTAATAATACTTGACCTCTATCTAAGCAGAGGACGGTAAATTTTTACTCAAAATTAATTATTTAGGAAGACTATATATATATATATATATATATATATATATATATATATATGCATTTTTTTTTTCTTCAGAATATCATTGGATTCGATGAAAAAGCAAATTGAATCTGCGAAATCTTTATCAAATAGTGGCATAAAAATCAAGGCGCTGAAAAAATGGAGAGCTAGACGGAATGGTTAAACTCGGAGCAAAATGTTATAAAGACCGGAAAAACGAGGAAAGGCCGAGCCGAGAAAGGACACGATAAAGCGAGATAAAGTAATGGAAACTCCGATCCACCCACACGCTCTCTTGCCCGATGTATCTCTATAGATAGGTCTTTCTAGGCCTGAAAAATGCGCTATACGTACGTCTGCACAGGTATATAATACTCCAGGAACAAGGTGGGCGAACCACTTCCATAAGAGCATCGCACGTCCCAGACACGCGCTCCGTGTTGTGTTGTGCAACAAGACGGGCGCGTATACGCGTACACGCGTTTACCGGGACTTTTAGGGAATTTTTCCCCGTCTACGTCAAGCGATTATAACAATATCGAATAATACACGATCTAAGGTTCCGATCCAACGGTCAATGATCATTAATTAATATTTTGGCTCTCGATGGCCGAGTGCGAGACTTTTCCCCGACAATCGCCTTCTGTATCATAACTTTTCGTGCTTTCGAGCGGAACTGGCCATTTCTATCGATAATCTGCCAATCCGAGCCTCGTTGATTTATCGATGATACAGGATGAAAAAGTTATACCCGTCCCCTCGCTGCCACTTGCGAAACGTTTAACAAGTATTTAAATCCATGCACCTTTCAATAAATCAGATACATTAGAACTGCCTCGAAATAATTCGCGCAAATACTTTGCCTATTTCTTCAGACTCTCGCATTTACCTCTCAGCCCACCTTTTCCTCCCAACTTAATTATAATAGCGTTTAACATTGATATAATGCAAAATTCAGAAACATAACTACACAAAAACGACCGAAAGGCAACATCGCGCAACGACTTGGAGAACATCGCGCTCGTTATTCCGACCAATGCACGTCGCGAAATCAAAGTTATTAAAGGCTCCCCTCGTGATCTACATCATGGCGAAACACGGCGAAACCGAGACCCTATGGTAATGGAATCCTCTTCCTCAGCGATACTCGTAAAGTTGCGGCAATGCTCGGGCCCGAGAACCCCACTACTAACGAGAACGAGATCTCTCGGTCCGCCGTGTGTGCGGGTAGTCGCGAGAATCATTAAGGGACTTGTCGCCCGGAGCGACACGAGTGTCTTCTCTACGCGCCTCGTGAATTTTCATCCCCGATTCGTTTCTCAACGCCGCCCTGCCAAGCGCCAACTCATTCGCTCGTCCGCTATTAACATCGCCCTAATTTACCGGCCAAGATCCTTGCCGTTCCCATGAGTGGCCCCGCTTCCCACTAGCCGTCACTTACGTCCATCTTCCACACCGCGGCACAAGCGGCGCCCCCTCGATATAAGGATGAATCGGCTCACCGCGGATGCTCGACGACGGACAGCGACGTGATGACGAGATTGGGAGTCAAGAATGGGGGGAGTGGAGATCGGCGAGCTTTACCGCTTTTTCACCCGCGTTCAATAGCTCCGCGTCTATCCGAGGTCCTGCGGCGGCAGCGATTGTTCGGGATTCCTGCACGCGCTAATCCCAGCGCAAAAGATAATTGCGCCTCTGTGCCGTCGGAAGCAGCAAAGGCACCGCACTCGCTATCCGCGCGCACTCCCCTTTTAAGAGGGTCTCGGCGGCAGAAGGGGAGTAGCTGCCGGGACAAGTGGAAAAAGCCGGAGTGGAAAGGACGGGCGCATTTCGTGCCCGACTTCGAGCGAGTCGTGCGCCGAAGGGGCTTGCGATGACGATGGCGATGACGATGGCGATGACGATGGCGATGACGATGGCAATGAGGGATGGGGGATTTGGGCGAGGGGGGGGGCGAAAGAAAAAAAAGAACGCGGGATAGCTATTCCTAATTAAAGTACCTGTCGAGACTACGTCGTTAAGAGCGCCGCCTGTCGATGATGTTTGAAGGATTGCCTTCTTTTTGCGTTCTTAAACGGCTACGTGGCGCGCGCGCAGCGGAGCGAAACGAGAGCCGATCCGCGCGATTCGAGCGCCGAGCAAAATAATAGTCCCGCAAACGTTGTTAATTAAAATTGTATACACTGGCTTATCGATACGCCTAATGAAAGTGACGCGATTAAGTAATGCCGATATTTCATTACGTAAGGTCCATTACATTTATGTGGAGCGTTTTAAGCATTAACGATCGAGGCGATCGATTCGATCAGTCCATGGAGCGGAATGGAGGCAGACTCAACCCAGTCTTGTCCATCTGCGCTCCAAGTTCTCGAGTGACGTCGTTTTAGTAACTGAAAATTCACCGGTAACGTGAATAAGATTCCCCTCAAGTCCGGCCATTAACATCGGACAATTGACGCTCGATTCTCGCTAGCTACTACACATTCATCGAGGAACGAAACTCTCGGTTTTCGCGGCTGCCGTGCGAATAAAGACAAAGTATGCCTCGTTGGAAAACCGATTCGGTACCTCGATGGAGAGATAGAGATAGAGAGAGTGAGAGAGAGAGAGAGAGAGAGAGAGTGAGAGAGTGAGAGAGACAGCGTCAGAAATTTCAGGCTCCATAATTTTACGGTTAGTGGGTATTTTTCGCGCATTATGTTACGCGCGCGTGCGTCCGCGCACACGTAATACGCCGTGTATGCCTGAGCCCCGGAGCTGTAAATTTCGGCGAAAGGGCGGAATTGCCTCGACTGAAAATATTATGTGCGAAATCGCCGCAGTTTGCTGGAGAAACATAGTCAGGGTTACCGGGTATAATCACACGTTTCGCGGGACGGCGTTCGGCTTTTCGAGAGAGCTAACGAAGGAGATGCTGCCACGCTTTTAACGAGAACCGTATATTCTTCGGACGTCGTCAGCGGTCTGAAAATTTCGTGATGCCCAATCGTTCCATCAATGTAGGCTCGCGAGCGTTTGCGAGTAGTTGCGAAAGTCGTGAAACAAAGAAAATAAATTCTTGTCTCAGCGTTACGGCTGATTGATTTTGAGACGCCTTTATGCACTTCATTTCATCCTGGGACATTTCATGCAAATGGCTCGGATGCAGAGCTCGGCATATTAGTTTACGTTTTTGCTTCAAGATTTGCGCAAAATTTATTATAATAAATGTTTACGAGCGTGAAGAGATATGATCGGTCGGACTCTAGTTCTTAATCTTTAATTTTCAACTGGTGAAAGGACATTTTCTTCTAAGATGTGGTACCTTCTTGAAAATGAAATGAAATGCTTTTATATATTGGGCACTTTGGATTCGGAAAATTATGAAAAATTTTTTGTGTTTTGTTTTTAAATTAATAGTGTTATTAATGTCAGAATATAAAACTTCTATAATTTATGATAAAATAATGGTTATTCGAGAATATAAACATTATTTCGACGATTCTTAATTTAGCAAATATATTATTGGCAAATCATTTTTCCGAAATATGTTTTACATTAACGATAAAGGGGCTGAATAATATCCAAAGACATATGTCATTCATAGGGAGTAAATAATTTTAATTATCTCTTAAAATTCGTTTCGACGACAGGGCACATTCTTTATTTCAAGTAAAACCATTCTCAACACTTTCATAAAGCTTATATGACAGCCAGAAAAGAATAAAAAACAAATTTTAAAATATATAAAAAAAGTAATGATTTATGTAATATTTTTTATTGACGTCCAACCACCACCTAACTCGTAAAGCGAATAAAAGGCAACGAAGAGAGAGAGAGAGAGA